CGAAAATCGTACTCCCCCGCACCCGTAGAAGCTTCTGTGAAGTTACCACATAATCTTTCTGATGTTCTTGCAGATGCTTGTTGATGTTCTCGGATGTTTGTTTTGATGTTCTTGCAAATGCTTGTTGATGTTCTCGGCAAATGCTTGTTGATGTTCTCGGATCTTTGTTTTGATGTTCTTGCAGATGCTTGTTGATGTTCTCGGATCTTTGTTGAGGTTTCAACCCTCTCTCTGCCACGCTCTTCTCACATGAACGAGCAGGTTCAGCAAAACCGACTCATTCCGTGACATTCCCACTGGTATATATCAAAAGCCCTGGCAGACATGGGGTTAGCACCTACAGTGACCTACAGATGTTTGCCAGCACTTGCCGGTTGACGCCAAGTGATATGGAGACGCACAGCCTGAACAGGTGTTGTGCGAAAAATGCAGAAGTGAGATGACCTATGCGAGAAACCCAGAATAGCTTGCTATTTTATTGTGGCAGAGAGCCCGGAGCCCAGCTTGCCCAAAGTGGCCGTTGCAGAGCCAGCTCCAGCAGAGCGCTGGAAGAGTGCCGTCACTGCTTGCACCTCTCCAATCTGCATTGACCAGCAATTAGAAACCCCAACCTAGAAGTTTGTATTTGTTTTAGGCATCGTCCGTCTTCTCAAGGTAAGTAACAGTACCTTGGACAACTGTGAAATTTGCCGCCTTCTCAGCAAATGAGACTCTCATGTTTCGCCATTCCGTATGGCTGACTCCGGCTGACTCTGTTTGTTCGCATGAACATGCTTCAGTCAGAACTTAGCCACTTGGTCTGAAGCATGCCCACTGAGGAATCGTACACATGATGGAAGCTCGGCTTGATTCGGGCTGCCACGGCCAAAAACGCTACACTGCACTCGTACATCGATCTGCGATATATTCGGTTTGCAACGGATCCAGTGCAGAGTTGGAAGATACTGACAGAAGGTTTGCCCGTTGAGGACTCCGTCATTCTCTCGACGCTGGCCGTGGGGCTTCAGCATTGCAATCATGTGCACTTCTCGGTACGAGTGCCGTGCTCCACCTGTACGAACTGTACAGTAGGTTTACGTTTTCACATGGTTCGTAGTTTGACGAACTGAACAGCAGTCAAGACATGCTGAAGAGCCAGGTGTGCCTGGTATTCCGGTAGCCTGCGCGAACATGAAACTCACAGCCCATCCACTGCAAACCAGATACTACCAAGGTTCAGGTACCCATCGAAGATATGCTGCTTACAAACATCGCTGGCGGCACCTCAACCCCGACCAAAAAATTAAAGCCGATGGTCGAGATCAGTTCGTCTGATCAATGACTCCTGCTTTTGCCGAGTGCCTTCGAGTGTTACCCATGTGCTTGAAACGATCTCCTCCACCATTCATGATCTACAGTGATGTCCCTGAAACCGTGGCCCGGAATCGATACCCACAGCTGATCCCACCTTCTGCTTCAAGTGCGGGGATGCCGACGTTTCCCTTCCGCTGCAAGTTTTGAACGAGTCGACTGTGATTACACTGAGCGGCTACTGAGCTACTGAATTGCAGGGAAGTGACAATGCATCCCATCCCGCCCAAGCCTGCCATCATCTGCTAAACGCTTCAGCGCGGCTGCCAACAGCGGTGGCAGCATGCCTGAAAGCAACGTGGCTGCTGGAGAGCTCCCCCGGGCTTGGGCTTGTTACGGCTCCAAGCTGGCTGTGACTGGCAACCGAGACTCCTACACGATCCCTCTGCCACTGCCCGGCCTCCGCTGGAAGAGCAAAGTCCTCGAGATGCTGGCACTCATGGCTACCAGCTACTACACTGAGGAAGAACCTCTCTGGGATGAGTTCCAAGTTGCGGCAACAGGCCAAAACGTGTGCAACTTGAAGTGAGCAGGTAAGGGTTTTGTTGTGATGAAACCTCCAAGGCCACGTCAAAATCGCAGGTCACAGTTTGCAGCTCTGCAGATCATTCGAAGTCGCTCTTCGACATGCAAGCATGAACTTTTCCGAAGATCTAACCGGATCCCTTTAGACAAAATCTGCGCTCCCTTCCCCCGAAGCTTAGCTGACCGAGCAGCCGGAAGCCAAGACAACGGTGCCCTCGAAGGTCTTTGCCGCCGACACCAACCGGGCCAAGCAGCCTTGCAGGAAGTCCAAGAAAAGGCAGGAGAACACTCACGACGACGCCTGGTGTCCAGCAGCCGTGCAGCACAGGCAAGAGCAGCTGTAATGGATATGTGCCAATGGCAAAAATAGACAAGCTAGAACAGGAACGAACGTGAGCACGGGTGCACCAACGGCCCAAATGGCTTTCGGACTCATTTACTCAAACGCCGACCGCGTTTCATGGACGCTGGACAAAGCCATCTCCGTGGTGTCGGCAAGAACTCCGAGCCTTCAATCGTGTCGCCACCAAACCTGAGCCAGGCAGCACCAGAACAAGGGATTCGGCTCTAGCTGAGAAGGGATGTCGGGCGGCCACGAAATTTCAAACGGTATGGAAAAACCCTACGAGTGCTGGACCCCGGTCTTTCTGGAATTGAACGCAGCAGAATAGAAAAGTAGAGTGAACCGCTGCTTAATCACGCTGTAGCAGGGCTGTCGAGGATGTGACGGAGCAAGGCCTCGGTGCAAATCGCGAACAGGCCACGGCACTGGAATTACAATCTGCACTTGCTGCAACCCTGCATTTCGAAGCCTCTGCTGTGAGATTCCCAACCCTTGTTCGTGTGATCAGGGGTGTTCTCTGTCACATCGGCAGCTTGCAAATGCGCTGGTTTCCGAGAGCATCACTTCGACAGCGTCGCGAATCGGACTCCGCAAGTGCGGGGGTGGAATGCCCGGGGCCGAGGACTCTGCTTCGCAACACCGGCAACGAGAAAACATTGCTTGCCAAGGGGCAGAGCGCCGCTCGACAAAACGACGCAGCAGCCTCAAGTTGTCGCTGTGGCTCGCGGATGACGGGCTCGAACCCAACCTGTTTTCCCTCGCACGGCAGGAACCCAACTGAAGAGGAGGGGTTCCCCGGCGGATGCATCAACTTGGCGATCGATTGCAGGTTGGAAGATGGCTGCAGGTCACTGTTGACCTAATGACTTTTTTTCGCAGGGCGTGTACAAATTCAGAAAGGCCGTTTTGCCAGGACGGCAGTGGGGAAAGCCAAGCAGCTTCCATAGAGTCATAGAGCACTTGCCCTCGTTTAAAAACTTGACCGTTGAGCTGGTCGCCGCGTCTAAATGGCCTCGCAGCTCCCTCAATTACGGGGCTTGCGGCAAAAGTCGCATCGCCACACCCCCAAGCTTTGAAAGTTAAACACACTTCATTAAACACAATCAATTTCGAGAATTCTCGAGGCAAGTCAATTACCCAATCCGGCCAGGCAGAACTGACAGAAGTTGATTGCCATTGTCAGAGCCCCCGGAGACCTGGTAAGAAGATTTTCTTGAAAAGGGATGAGAGTCAGGGTCTGCCACGGGGTCTGGAGCACAGCCGACATTGGGGGAGCCAGGGCATCGCATGCTTGAGCCAGAGCATCGAACCAACAGCCGATATCCACGATCACTTGAAATCGGCTCAACAACTCCATCGATCTGATCCGTCTGCGACTCTCCCCAATTCACTTGAAGTCGCTCGAAGGTGTGTAATTTTGTTGCCAATGCCTCCAAGCTATTCATGTGAGCACATTGCACCAACTCGGCCCACACATTCTGCATGAGGACACTGCCAAATCCTGGAAATACGTCGGTGAGGCGCATACCGGCAAGGATGCTTGCGAAAACAGATGTTGCTTCAACAATGCCCTGCTCCATATCCAACTGAAGGTAAACGATTCGATTTGCCGGTGCAGCCGGGATGCTGCAAGCGGCACTGTTAACAGGGGTGGAGTCCATAAGCTTGTACGAATCGAGCCCGGCCTCGGTCGCGTCTGCTGCATTTCGCCCAGCCAAAGCCTGTTGATCTGTGAAGTCACGCAGGCCCAACAAATGGCGCATTTCGCCATCCTGCTTCTGGTACCTGACTTGGAATACCTCCACGCGAAACTTGCTTGAACAACTGTCAGCCAGCCGAGTATGAAAAGCACGGGCAGATACTCCTGCAACTGACGAAACTCCGGCATCTTCAGCTTTCAAGAGCTCCATGGCTCGCAAAGCTTCTTGCTTGCTGGCAGCGAAATCGACAAACTTCCTCCCCTTGAGCTTGATACCCGCCTGGTCCCGTAAGAGAATGGCCGAAAGCTCTGGGCAGTCGTCGGTCAAGCACAGGTCCTCCGGCGTGTGCGCGTGTTTGCATAATCTTGTCGTGTCATCATAGGACTACTAAAGCGGTCGTTCGATAGGCTCCGCGGTCAGCGAGGTTTCGCAAACTGTCATGATACTCAACTGCGAGCTAGACAGGGTAGTTTGAAGAGCTAGCTGCCTGAAGTGGCCTTGGCCTCGGCTTGCATATGATAAGTCATGACCGAATGCAGGAAATCATACCCTGCCGACGGAGACGACAAACCTACATCGTCATTACATCCTGCATACAACATGCGAACTAAGCCAAGTGTAACACCAGTCTTGGCACCTGTACCTGTCAGACTCTATCGCAGGCTATCTCCTCATCCAGCCCCAGGACTGCGTCGCAAGTGAGTCGCAACAAAGATGTTGCTGCGCAAAGCTCGGTCGCTGCATCGCCATGCTGCAGTCCACGCCGTACAGTCGTCTTCAAGGAAACCTGACCATTTAGTGTCTAGGACGCAGCACGATTGTGTGACAATGGTTGGGCAGCTTGATTGAACTCCTGAGACTCAGCAACAAAGACGAAGACAAGCGAGCAACTCTGACTGCAATAGGAAGGGTTCGCTCGAAGGCCTGTAGTCCCTCCAGCTGCTCTCACTGCTGTCTCGGGCTGTCTCAATCTGCCTACCTTCCACCCCCGCTGTAACTCACTTATCTTGTCCTGGTGCAGTGAAGCACAACCTGCATCTAAGGAACTGCGTCTGCCCTGGATGTTGACTGATTTGCTCACCGCGTCCAGCCTGCACCAGAAACGCTGCGCCTACCATGGTGATGAAGCTCAAAAGCTCTCCCCATATAGCTGCGTAAGCCATGACTTTGCCCCTGCCATCGTCGTCTGCCGAGCTCACCTCCATCATGCCACGCAGCATCATCATTCCAGAGTGTGCCAAGCAGCAGGCTATTGGTAGAGCAGTATGTGTCGAAAAACATGCGGCAGGTATTCGAACCAGGGCCAAGCACGCAAGAGATACGAACACTCCCTGGTGCAGACTCGAACCCAGGGGCGATGCAATCACAGTCATTGACCCTTGAAGCACCACCAGGAAGCCGTCTAGGGTCCTGGCATTGAGGATCCGAGGCAAAAGGCAAGGCAGAGCAACAAGACCGGTCAAGCCAATCACCGTCCAGACCGTAACCGCAGACATCCGGCGCGGTCTGTCCAACACAATATTAGTCTGTATCGATACAAGGGTGAAAAACAAAGCGACGGTGATGGTATGCAAATAGATCCTTCCCATCCTCAACCGCGCTTCACGAAGCCTGTGTGCTATTACCCTCTCCTCGGCACATTTCACGTCAGACACAGGGCCCACTATCGACTTCACTGTCCAGCTGCGCAGCCAGAGCAGAATGCGTGCGACGATGAGCCTCCTGTGGCCGATGCCAAGGTGCAAGCATCTTAGAAACAGCAGCGTCTGAATGACGGCACCGGCAGCAAAGACGGCTGCCTTTTCGACGAAGTCATCGGAAGTTTGCATAGCAGCTTGTCTAGCTAGCTGGGCCTCGTTAGAGGGCAGTACTAACTCTGCCGCTTGCAGCCGGAAACTGCAATGTGCGAAGAAAGTGTTGGTTCAACAGCCAGCTCTGCCTCGCCGTACATACCGTATGCAAGACCCTTTCTGTTATCGCCTGAAATGCACGGATAAATTGCCTGTAGTACTGGTTACAGCTTGCTGAGCTCGAATCATCGGCACGATTGTGCATGTGACAAGCCCAAAACTAAGCGGCAACTCAACCGAAACCCCTGCGCCCCTGCTCCGAGAGGCTCGTCGTGCTGGGCTGCATCATCCAAGAGGAGGTGGGCGACCTTGTTTCGAAATCGCCGAGGCAATGACTCTGACTGTGCTTGCAGGGGAATGGTTGCCCACGGAGCACGGCTTGCGTTCTGAGTGCGGTGCAAAAGCCTCAGCGGAGCCGCTTGGCGTCAGCTCTGCTTCGTCGAAGGCGTCGACACAGCCGGAGGCCACCTCTCGGTCTTGAAACCGTGCAGCACTCCCGGTCACTCCAGGGCTCCAGGCCTCAACACATACCGACTCGAAGACTCGACTTTGCAGTTCTGCAAGGAGAAAGCCTTTATGGATCCCGGACCCTTGTGCACGGCGCCCGACTTCAACTGGCTGTTCGCCGAGTTGGGTGGATCCCGCAGTGCTATTGGCAAGTGGCAAGACAAACTGATTCGTGTTAGAGTCTTTCCAGGATTCCGCTGACAGTTGCTGGAGCGTTCGACAGCGGAGACCCTGCACTGTCTGGACCCGCCGATCAAAGCCACCATCCTACTTCTAGATTCTAGAAATGAAACAGCCCAGCTGCAAAGCTTGAAACCTGAGATTCAAGAGCGACGTTGGAAAACCTCGTTGAAAAGCAGGAATCGGACTTCCGGAGCGGGGCTCTTCATGTTGATACTCTGCAAACCTCCATATATGCATGCCCAATTCCGAAGATGTAGGCACGATCTATCTTGAAGATTCTTGGTCCAGGCTTGTGCACTGTTCAAGTCCTTTGAAGTTTAGTCTCTTTCTGATAGGCATGCAAGCTGGGCACGATCTTGCGTCTTGCAGCATTACAGTATGAGGGGCCTGTCGCGGCAGGGAGCGGTAAAAGGCAGCCTGCTGTGCAATGAGGCCTCGGAGGGGAGCGAGTGTTCTGCTAGGAAATCGTCCAACGTCGCTTGAGGCTGTATGGTCTCGGACAGGAAAATTCGCGGACGTGGTGCAGATTGGTCATAAAACGAAGATGTGTTCTTGTCGGGTGCGGTTTCTCTTCATAGCAGCACTTCCAGCACTCCAAACTTTCATTCCGTAGATGGTCCTAGACTTCCTCATGTCAAGTGGCGCCATGTCAGATGCCCTTCATCAGACTTGTGTTCCAGTAGAGCATCGCGCCACAGGGTCATTGAATTCAAGCACCACGCTGGCACAGCAATGCTTTGGATCGTACTAATATGGACCTCCCTGCTTTCTTGCGCCCCGGCCATGGACGTCGAAACCAGGCAATGGGGAGGGCGAGGCATCCAACAGCTGCTGCACCTACAGGGCTGAAAAATAAAATATGCGTCCTTAATAGAAGTGCCTTTATGCAGGATCGGATTGTTTGCCTGGGCTTACGGGCAGAAGCATGGTCTCGGAATTGATAGATAGTCAACCACACCATCACCCTTCCCCATCCGTGCGTGCGTCAGAACCTTCCACTGCAGGGGCCAAGTGGAGTTTGAAGCATGCGATAAACTCCTAGGATTGTTGCCACGGAGTTCAGGGACACAGCACCCTATTTTCCCCACACCTTAACGCCCCGTCAGAGTTCTCCAGACACTTGACCCTGAAGCTACAGACTGCCCCGACCCTACTGAACGTGCCTCTGCCTGCAAAGATGGTGCGTCGACCAATGCCACTCGTGCAGCCTCGACGAAGCTGAAGTCGGCCACCAAGTCTCGGACCTTTGCAGCGCGGCTCTTTCGTCCAACCATTTGGGCCGTGAATGGAGGACCTTGCGTTGAACTCTGAATCGCAACTAATAACATGTGTTGCTGTATCATCCATGCAAATTTCCGCAAAATTCGAGAGTACATGCACTCTCAGTTGATCCTGATCTCCACCTGCACTGTAGAGCGGTCGAAGTCAAGTCTTCCAATTCTATGATGAGGGATCTTGCGCTCACATGCATGAGATATCATGAGATGCTGCACGAGCCACCCTCTCCGGCAAATCTAGAAGCTCTGCGAGTCTTTCGCAAAGGAGAAATTCCTGATGGTGGCTCATAGAGGGGGTGTGTCTCGGATGGATTCGGGCAGATTACGATTAAAACTAGGACGGTACATTGACTTGCCACAGCTGTCCATCTGGGAAAGATGATCTATTTGGACAACAGTGACCATGGCACATGCTTGGGAGCATTTCCACCTGCTCCAATCACGCCGCAAACTCACCAACTGCAGTGCATAGAGCACAAAACCATCCAGCAGTTCAGTGCGGCACTGTTCATGCTTCTCTAGATTCGAAGCTTGCAGAGTTGTAGCGAAAGAACTACACAAACTCCCATCGTCCGCCACCCGTTTCTCATGATCACAACTGCACGCATGCGATCTTTGCAGTGGACACACACGGGGTGCACGGATCAAGTTGCAAAAACTCACGACCAAGCAGGCAAAGCCAAGGCAGCCAAGCGGTTCTGTCAGATCGCAACACACCGTAACCCGCCACGTCTGCCGAGATGCTGTATCTTCGGCGACCGGAGAACCTCAAGACAAGAGCTTGCAGCGAGAGGCGGAGCGTATGTATGAAATCAACCATCCTGACTTCGTAGCGGAACAGGAGGCTGTCAGGTGGCCGTAAAGGGGCTCGTCAGGCGGGTATGCTTGGCTTTGGCAATGTGCGAACAAATTTCGGAAGAGTGACTCTGCAAAAGTTGTATTGGCCTTGCGTGGTCTTGTGTTTCGCCGCGTCTCAATCACCTACTTTTTGTCTCCTTGCTCTGGGGTCCAAAGCCGCATCGCAGGTTGCGGCAGAAATTAGCAGTTGGGTTGAGAAGATGCCTCTGCAGCCGCAAAAATGCGAAATGCACGTGGCTCCAAAGCCCAAACGCCGAAGACCACGAAACCACTCACCAACGCAGTCACCAAACCCCAAAGGCAAGACTCCTCCACCCGAAACCCCGAACCAGCAAGCACAGCCTTCCCCATCCTCTACAGGCGGACTCGCTGCCAGCTCCCGCCTCAGCTTTGCTACTCTCCAGCACAGGAACAAGGAGCCAACAAGCAGCCGAAGACTAGCGGACATCATGCCATGGTGACCGCAGAATGTTCCGAGTCTATTTGCAAGACGATGTTTCAAGCTTACTTTTGCTCTTCACCATTACTGTGAAAAAAACACAAGCTGTGGCATAACTATAAGTTCACATGTCGTTGCGAGGGGCTAGAACAGGGGACTCGAGGCTCTCCAGCGCGGCGTAGTCTGCACATTCCTGGGAGCGTCCTTGCTGATTCTTGTGGAACCTCCACCTCGAATCCTTCGCCTATACTTTCCCCAACTTCTTGCAAAGATGCATCGTGGCAATCAGCTCATCCGCTTTCTCCGCCTTCTGAGCGACCATGGAGGCACCTAGCTCTCACGGGGCCGAGGCAGGGTGAGGCATCAACAAATTTTGAACGACTATTTTGAAAAGATCAAAAAATTCTTCAAGGGATCCAAAAAAGTACTCCTCGATCTGTAAGCAAAATAAAGCAATTAAAAGACAAAGAACTATTTTAGGGATCAACAAAAACTAAGTAGACTATTCCTATCTTGTATTATCTTGTAAGCAAAACAGAGACCAGAGAGGACCCAGGATAACGCGCGTTCCAGGTGGAGGGATTTGCCAGTCTAACAGAACCCGCTAGAACTCGGGGTGTAAATCCTTCTGGCCGCGCGTGAGAATCTTCGCTCCGTGCCTGAAAAGCACCAATACTTGGGGGAGAGCTTGGCTCTGGTCCGGAAAACATTCCGGCCGCGCCCGTCCGTGTGTGAGTGTGTGTGTGTGTTTTTTTTCTCTTTTTGCTGGCATGTATTTCTTAAACACGCCCCCTCATTTGGCGATTCCGGTTCATCATATATCTCAAAGATGCTCCGTTACTTTGCGATTCCCATTCATCCTTTATCTTAAGCCCGGCCCCTCACCAGCGATTCTGGTCCATCGTGTCTCTTAAACATGCCCCCTGATCTGGCGAGTCCAGTTCATTATTTATATATATATATATACAGTTATATATATATATACATACATTAGACACGCTCCCTCATATGTCTTAGACACGACCCCTCATATCCCTCATGAATCCCGCCAGTGCAATTTTGTCAATCCAACAGAACCCGCCAGTACTCGAGGGGGAATTCTTTCTGGCCGTGCTATTTGTATCAAGCTATTGCTGCTTCCTCTCTGCAAACACACCTACCAATGAAGGCCACGCACAAATCAAGAAACAACGAATAGTTGCTTTGAGCTTTGAGTGCATGGTTAGCGCGCTCTCATCACTCTGCTGGAGGCCACTTCTCATATTCTCATATGTTCTCATCACGGCTGGCGGTACCGGTCTCATTCTCGGTTTCGGATAGCAAAAGAATGGGAGGGCGTAGCACATCGCTCTTGAAAACAAGCCTGCGTGGAAAGAAAACCAAGCGGGGTGCCCACTGCACTTGCCAACAGAATGCTCCTGCTTGAAGGAATGTCCACTGAGGGTGCACCATTTTTGAGGCAGCTTTGCATGGCTTAATAGCGGGGGGTTGAGTGGGGGTGGCCCCCCCTGCATTTGTAAACAGACTGCTCATAGAAAGGACGCATTCTTTGAGGCAGGTTGGCACGGCTTAAAGGAGCGGGGCGGATGATTGGTTTTTTCGAAAGGCTTCATGAAGGAAACACATGTCCGTTGACGGCATGCTGCCCTTTCAAGCAAATTCGCATGGCGTAAAACTCAAAAAGAGCCGGGGGAGGTTGGGGGCCCTTCCCCGCGTTTGCAAACAGAATGCTCGTAGAAAGGCTGCTTGGAGGAATGTCCATTCATGGGGCGCCATTCTTTGAAGCAGCTTCGCATGGCCTAAAATTAAAGAAGAGCAGGGAACTGTGGGGCGCAGCCCCCGATTTGCAAACAGAATGCAGCATTCTTTGAAGCAGGTTCGCATGGCTCAACATTTAATATGCGCAAAGGGTGTTATTTGTATACACCATGTTCGTTTTACAATGCTTGACTTGGCTTGGCCTGTTTCGAGCGGGGATGGGGGCGAGGGGATGGGTTTACATACATGTGGGCGTACATGTATGTGTATATATATATATACACATATTTGCATGTCCATATATATATGTATGTATGTATATGTATATGTATATATATATATGTATATGCACATGTAACATACAGCCTTATGCATATACATATACACTTATACATATACATCCTCATCCTCAACATTCTCATCATCATCGTCATCGTTATCAATTATCATCCCGAGAAAACGCACGAAATCAAGCTCTGGGAATGAAGGTTTCCGCTTGATGGTTGAAGAAGATATCTTTCTTTATGCTTACTGTCTGCAAGGAGTGCATGGGTGTAAGTAGCTAGATTTTCAATAAGGCAAGTACATTTGTAATGACTTAGGATCCTTAGTAAGGATCTAACTTCTCTGTGCTGAGTTGCTGGTCTTTCTGTCTTTTTTGCTTCATTCGTTTTTGTTCGCTCGTTCATTCTCTATACCTTCCAGTCGTTCTTTCTTTCTGTCTTTCCGTGTTCTTTCTCTCTGCGCTGAATTGCTGTCTCGTTCCGTCTTTCTTTCTACATTTATTTGTTTATGTTGTCGTTGTTTATTTACTTACTTAGTTGTTCTTCTTTTGTTCTGTCTTTCCTACATTAGCGGTTTTCTTTCTTTCTTTAGTTGCTTCTTTCGTTGCTTTTTTCTTTCCGTCTTGCTTTCTAGATTTTGCTTGGAGGAGTTTTTTGCATCCCTGGGACAGGTGTTTATGCTTTGTGTTGTTCCATTCTCTTTTTGTATTCTGCTTATAAAATAGGAATCTTTTTTTGATCCTTTAATACTTTTTTTGATCCCTTGAATAGTTGTTTGACCCCTTAAATAGTTGTTTTACCCCTATCCCGCCGCGGCAGAGCCTCTCGCACAACTGCTTGCAGGCAGGCTTTGCGGTCATCTCAATCGCAAGATAGACACTCGCGACTGGAGCTTTCTCTTACATGTTTCAGTGCGTTCATGTCCAGCTTCTCCTCGCGGCCTGACCGCGGACCGAGACACACTCTGACATTGCCCGGATGTGGTCCGAGGACTCCAGGATGCTTCCTTGGAAGGTGCCGACTCGCTGAGACCTGAACCTGGATTTCATCCCTCCAACTCACGAGGCTTGGAAGTCCAAACAAAGACCTCTTGCGGTTTTCTCCGAGTGGCGGTAGTGGTCCCCAACCAACTCCCGCAGCTCTGACTTCTTGGCTTCCACCTGGTGCCAAGGATACCACTTTACCCGTCCTGACATTCCTGCACTACTTTTCTGCCATGCGGACATGCCGACATATGCCGACCCGATACGGGAGTGCACTGCATGTACCGCGGCCAAGCAATGCTCGGATCAGTGGCTGCGGGCCAAGTCAGCAATTGCAGCCTGTGCTGGATCACCCAGACGAGTCTTCACAGGCAGAGGCAACTTCGGGTTAGCCCTTTACTCTGTGAACTTGGAAACCGAGCCTCTGTCACAAACCACAACCCTCAAGCGGGAGCCTCTGATCGAGTCCTCTGTAGGATGCCATGGATTTCCACCAAACTCTTCCTCTGGCAGTTCACTTGTACACCCAAAGTTTTTTCTGAACAATGCATGTCAGAATGAATGTTCCTGCTGCAACTGTGACGGTGTCCTTTCCCTGCGCATTGCGAAGCCAGTGCGTCTACATTTTGAACGGGTTTCGCAAGAGTCATGTTGGGGCGAACATTTCTGGAGCGCGCTTGCTGAGCGAAGACAAAGTCGCTGTCGCTTCGGGCGCCGACTTTCCATCGGACTACACATCGCCACATTTTGACCGAATCAGGAACCACTCTTGGCTCGGGATTTAGGTTTGCAGTATCGGCTTCGAGGGCTCAACATCTACAAGGTTATGAGGCTGGCTAGGCACTGCGCAGGCTCTTGAACTGAAACACACTCTCGAAAATGGGGCACTGCCACACGAGGTCTCTTGGGTCGGATCAAGTTCGCTCGGGAGAACTTGCGGCAAGAGTCTGGCGAAACAAGTCATCGATCGATGATGAGGTAGGTCTGCCCATTGCCAAATGTCACGGCATCAGAAGCCACATTTTCATGGCCACTGAATGACAGCATGATTGGAGCCAAAGCAGCTTTGAAGATACAGCAAGAAAGGCCAAACATCAGCAATGCACATTGACAGTATTTCGACAAACAACTCAATACGCAGGCTGTCTCGCAAACGTCTTAGCGTTCGCTCTAGTTAGCCATGCGAGAGGCAAAAAAATGTCTTCGCAGACGATGGGGCCCTCGCGAGCATACCTGCACAACGGACAGCGGAATCAAGATCATTCAACATCTGCTTACATCAGCATGCAGCATTTGACGAGAACTGTGCGAACTAAGCCCGGTGCAAACCAAAACATTCCCGGGCCCGAATGCAGAGAAATGGGTTGCGCTGTCAATCTGCAACCAATTGGCTGTATTAAGCATGCTTGAAGTATTCATGCTATCTCTGCCTAGTTGGCTTTTGAAACGACAACTGCGCCATCGTCGTGGCACCATCCCAAGATGGGCGAAGCATTGTAGGTACGTTGGGGCTTTGTAACCCAAGAGCAACACGGAAGGCCCGCCTGTGCTGGAAAGCCAGCGGGTCTCCAGGAGCACGGGCACATGCCAGAAGCCCTAAGTGAGCACTGTATGTCAGCTCTGCTGCAGCAGAGATAATTTGAAGGGCCTGTCAGTGAGTGCTGTGGGTGCCCCATCACTCCCGGTTATGCTTCCGCTCCGCTTGCGTAGCAACAGCGAAGAAAAACGCCACCGGCTAGTGCGAGCGATCATTCAGTATCCAGTCGTCAAGGAGGTAGCGCTTCGGTCCCCATGTTTCATGATCGGATCGGAATTGAGAAATGTGAATGGAAGTCACCTGCATCATGCGACCCAGCAGGCACAAACGTCATCACAGAATCAATGTTGGCACAAAGCAGGGAACGGAGCCACAGTTTCAACTTAAGTTTTGTATTAATCAGAAATGGTCTTTGTCGATGTCTGTCTCCCTTCCTTTCTTCCTGCCCTCTTGGAAATCTAATCCTTGGTGCATCATCATCGTCGAGACCCGCGCGGCTGCGGAGCTCGTCGCTGTACCTAGGGCAGGCTACAGCGGCTACAGGTTCAAGCATTGCTACAGCAAGTGCTAGTACTAGCAAGGCTTCTTGCGCTCCATATTTTGGCAATGCAGTCTCGGCGAATATGTCAGGAATGGCACCAGCAAGCAGTCGAAGAGACAGGGCACACGTTTGTTCATGCTCTGCTGTGCTCTAACAGGCTACGAACATGGCACATGGGGCGCATGTCAGTCGGCATTGAATTCAAAATTGTCGTCATATTCCCAGTTATCTGTGGCTGGCCAGTTGTAGAAAATAATCCACTTCTCACCCTGCATGACACGGTCCGCCGCATGCTTGAGAGGAGGCTGATTTTGCCAAATCAAGGCACTCCCTTTTGAGGGCTTGACTTTTATTCCCAAGGTTGGGAACAGGGTATGGCCACCATCGGCTACGTCGTTCAGGTATGTCAACAACGTTGCGCGATTGTAGTCAATGTGCACAGGCAGCCACTGCTCCTTGCGATAGTGCTTGATGTTGGCCTGACCATAGCTCACATCGAGGCCACACCGGTCACGCACCTTCTGCAGATAAACATCCAGCAAGCATCGGCTCT